CTCCTCAGCACTCTGTCATCAGTTTGCATCAACAGCCTGCAAGATACAAACTATTCAACGATGCTTCATTCCAGTTTTGTACATAGCTTCCCTGGCTGTGATGGCTTTGCTCATCGTTCCTGTTATTGTTTTCTACAAAGACATCATAGACACAACTGAGAGCTTCAGCTTAACAAGTTACTGCAATTTACTCATGGATGAAAAAAATCTAAGAGGAAGTGGTAATATGTTCCTGCAGCTGGTTTTGGATGTTACAAAAACTCTGTGCTACTTGGACATGTCCAACATTGGATTAATGACAGGTAATCTATYAATGCTGTMATCAACCTGAAATTATAAAGCTGTAAATCATTTTCAATAATACTGTCATGAATCCCCATCTCACTTCTGTTTTCACTTACTTTCCTCAGGTGTGGCRGTGTCCTGGTGGATTGGCCTTGGTTTAGCTACCATTTATATCTGGTATTCCAAGAAACATTGCATGCATATGACTCCAAACCAGTTTATAAAGAGTCTGTATGGTGGAACCTCTATCGAGCAAKCTTTACTCCACAAGACCCAATTTGACATCCAGASTGAAGACGGGGCACATCAGTGAGTTTGTGATACAAGTTTTTTTATTTGTTCCATTAGCTTTCCTAATCAGTAGTTTAGACCTAAACTCTAGATGTGGCAGATTATGTCAAAGTGGTTCTTAAATTCTCTATTGTCATATAAATGTTTAGGGACAACGAAACCACTGCCATGATTTATCTGTGTACTACTATGTGGCAYGAGACGGAGGATGAAATGAGGGACAATGTGATCTCAAAGTTCAGGTGAGGGACTGTTCAGATGAAGCTGCTGTCAGAATAAAATAAAAACTACTACTAACCTGAAGTAGATTGCTTCATCAAAACATTGACTTTATGATGGTTAGCYCAGAGAAAATAGCAATTTCAATGAGTTGTTCACGAATTTCTGAACCAATCACAAGTTATATAAAATGATCACATTTTATAACTGAACTGTGTTTGATTTTTAAGGCTTGACCAGTACAGACCAAAGACGGAGCCAACGTTGAACGATTTCACTTTTGAAGCCCATATCTACTTTGATGATGCTTTTAAAAATGTTGATGAAATCCAGGGTCGTCACCTCAACAAATATGCAAAGAACCTTGTGAAAATCATCTCCGAGGTGTATGGGTAAGAACCTTGTTTACAGACGTTATATAAAGTTGATTCTGACCTGGCAGCAATGCTTGAGATCTGTTTTACACAGAGGTGGAGCCAGAGGGATGGTGGCCACCCYGAAATAAATGACAAGTGGGTGGGGATCGTGGATTTTGTGTTTGCATTTAGATTTTGTTAAATATTGTTCTCTGACGCTATTGTACTATATTGATTTTTAGCTGTTTAAAAATAGTTGAATTATAGCCYTTTGTAAAATTACCATTATTAGTGGCTARCTTAATTTGGGATTATCATTGACAATTGGCATTCTTAGCTATTCCACAACCAATGTAATTTCAGTAAGACTTATATATAGTCATTTAAAGTTAGCTGTGGTGTGCCATATTGAATTTTTATTAACATTTAAAAATGGCTGAATAATAAATTGACTGGCATTCAGCACATTTTTTTAGATCATTCTTTTCTATGATCACACTTATTTTCAGATCAATATTTCTTACAATAGCTGAATTAAAGCCATTTAGAATTAGCTGCGGTGCCCATCTTGAAATTTCAAATCCAAGTGCTTTTCTTTATTTGTATGTATCCCCCTAAAAAAACACCATGGCCACCCTCACAAAAAATTAGCTCTGCCTCAGGTTTTACCGTCTTTATAATTAAGTATTTATCCTTTATATTCAGCTCTTTCATCAACACCGATGACATATTCTTTGGAAATCAAGAACAAATCCCTGATTGGAAGCTCCTAAAGACACCATATGGAGGTCGTCTCGTCGTCACCTTGCCTCATGGGAATGACTTTGTGATTCAC